GCTACAGTGATATCACAGAAGACATTATTAGTCAGTATTGCATTATGCAAAATTAAAAATATTGTAAAGTACCTCTCACTTACGTAAGAGCACTACTGAGCACCGTATAGGTACTTTCTAAACCTCTGTTGGAATATTATAGGAGCAGTTTGTGTCGTACTACACTGTGTGAAATTGTAACACGCCTTTATGCAAATGATATTAAATTGCTCGTACCATCTCGTGTGCAGAACTGTGTAATAAAGATCACTGGCAGGTTTGCAACGAAAAAAAAATCCTACTTAACTTTTTAAAAAAAAGTTTCTAAAAGCAAATGTATTTAGTCTTAAAAATCAGAGTCAGAACAAAACGTAAAGTTTGTCCTGAGAGTGACGCTAATGGGAAGATAATGGAGCTATTACAGTCACAGTGGTTCATCCTATGAGCAGCACAGAAGCCGATGAGTACACTTTTTAGACCGTTTCTAGAAGACCTCTTCCAGTGAAGTGTTTTCCATGTTCACGTTTTTCTGCCTCTCTTTTTTAAATGCATTTGTTACGTTCCTGCTAACAGTACGTACCTCAACTATCAATATGGAAGAACTCACAAGAGAGTGAACAGCAACTTATTTATTTACAATTATTGAATAAATTAAATGAACAACAAAATGAAGGTTTCTAGAAAAGTGTGGGGGAAGGGTCAGCTGTGGGGTCGTGCCAAACCAAAGAAATAAATATAATAAAACAGGGCCTAACTTAAATCTTTCTGAATGAAAAGAAAATGAAAACAAAAGGCCTGGCTGTCTTATCTAAAAGTGAGAGGAACACAAAACTTCCATGGTGGCATCAGCCCATAACCTAGTGCATGTAACAAAGAGAACGACATGTGTACATGCACAGGGTACCCACTCTTATCTCAGCTGCACCGCCTTCCCATCACAAACCTTCCAAAGCTGACAGCAGCATGCAAAATGACAGCAAGCAAGAGGCAGAGAGCGAACAAAGGCGTAGGAGGGCTTATAAAGGAGAATCCTCCAACCGATTGGACAACCAGCCAGAGCACGAGCCAATCACCCACTCCTCAGGAGCTCACAGGTGGGAGCGGCAGGGAATCCACAGGTGTTGCCAATCTCCCACTAATCACCTGTAGGAGAGAGGTGGAGAGGGAGACACACATGCACACACACAAATCTTCCACTCTGTACGTAACAGTGTTTATAAGCAGTCACCACCATGGTTAAGCATTTGCACCTTGAAACTGCCGTGTGCAAAAAATGGAGGCTTTTAGAGTAACAAACATACGGATCAAATCCTGCCGTCATTGTTCTTCAGAATCGGTTTCTGGTTTCAGGGCTGAGCTAGACTAGCTTTGCAGTGCTGGTGTGCTTGAGCTGCACCGAGTGGCACAGAGAAGGAGGCGGAGACTATGCAGATCTGCACATTACACAGGAAGCACCAGCGCAGAGGTATGTCAGTCATTCTGGGATTTGTTCATTGTTAAGGAAACAGCTTTTAATTGTTCATAAACTGACCGCACAGAGACGGGGTTTTAGAGGTTCGATCAACAACCGGAGAGGGAATCTTTAATTGTTTTGTGTAATAAACGCGTTGGAGAAGGTCACCAAAACAATGAGGATTCATCTCGTTGAGAACAAAAATATTTGCTGGAAATTGTATGGATGTTTGTCTGTTAGTGTCTGAATGGATAAAAACACCAGATTATGATTTTACCTGCAGGAGAAAATGTTAAATTAAGGGTTAGCGTGGCCCACCGTCACTAAAACAACAACCCCGACCTAAACCTCAGACACACGAACAGGATCATATTTGTTTTGGTCTTTAAGGCAAACAGAGAACAACAAAACAGATAACCATATGTGATGCATATTAGAACCTCTAATGTCTGATTTATATTCATTCATTCACTCACTATGGGGACAGTCGCCTAATGCAATCATTATTCATCTTAATGAATAAAAGATAACAAAATGCACAGCTTGCTCTATAGAAATAGCAGCACAGTGGGAGATTTAAAAAATAAATAAAAAATGCCAGTGTACTTTGTTTCACAGGCACAGGTAAGCCACTCCACACCATGAAGTATAATCGTGTTGATTACTCCTGAGTATGACTAGAATCAGTCGGGTTGGTTCTGAGTTAGGGACAGCACAACGCCAAGTCTCACCACACACATCCCTGCTGCTCAGTTATCATTAGAACAGTGCAAACGAATGAAAAACTTTGGTTTTCTTTCTTAAAAATCAATTTAACACGTATGATTATGTTTCTTGTATTTCGTTTCCTACTGCATGTTGTTCATAAAGTCAAGTTAAGTCAGATTTATTGTCAGTTTGGCCATATGTACAACATACAGAGAACTGAAATACTCCGAGGCCCCACGGTGCAAAATGAATACAGAAAAAAAAAGAGAAAGAAAAATAGAAAAAATAGAATATAGCTAAATACAGGATATAGACAATAAACATCTCTAAACAATATAAACAATAGACATTTATGATATTCATGTTCAGTGTGGAGCTCTGTATCCCTGTACTCACACTGCTTTATACCTTTTCCTGCTTCTTCTCTATTATTCTTTTCAGTGTATGTAAAATCAATCTCCTCATGCTTCATTTAGTTTCAGAACACATCAGAACACACCAGCGTGCTGCCGAACCGCCTCAGTGTTTGACAAACGCTCGCTGCTGAGCGCTGCGTTCACTTCATACATGGCTGTGAGAATGTCACAGGTCTGTAAGGTCAGTCCTCACTCCACAGCGAGTTCACTGATTATTCCTCAGGGGATCTCAGTGTGAGGGGCAGAGCTCACATCCAGCTAGTGACACGCGTGCCAGCCAATCGCCGGCGAGCTCCGGGCCCGCGCAGGCCAATGGCAGAGTGTTGTGGGCGTGTCTGACCGCTGCGAGGTGCGTTTTTTGGAGTTTGGTAAATGACTGCAGCAAGAAAATACAGTGTCGGAGCGCACCGAGGCTGCCTCAGCCCGTCCGTACTGTACCTCCGTGTGCGACTGCTGGAGTGTGTACGCGCGCCCGGCAGAGGCCAGTGTCGCTGCCGCTGTCCTGCCATGGAAGAAGCTCCGCATCACACGCAGCCCTGCGCGCTATTATAACACACTCAACCTCTCCCGCTGGGCTCCATTTCTTCTTCTTCTTCTTTTTTTTTTTTTCTCCTCTCAGTTTTTAACGGAAGCCGGTGCCCGATTGGGAGCGGATGCGGAGCGCAGAAGCGGCCGCCGGTGCGTCTCCAACTTGACCACCACCAGACAATGGGAGTTGCTGAGCCGTGCTGCTGCAGCGCCAAGTACTACTACTACAACTACTCGCCCCTGGGAGACAAGTACGAGGAGGAGAAGAGAGAGAAGCAGCAGCAGCGAGAGGAGGAGGTGAAGAAGAAGAAGGAGAGGGAGAGGAAGAAAAGGAAGCAGACTTGTTCTACCTGCAGACCTCCCTCTCTGAGCAGCAGCAGCAGCAGCAGCAGCGGGACTCCCGCAACAGTCGATACGCGCGGATCCAGCCCTGAGCTCCGGCTGCCTCTGGGATGCATGTGAGAGAAAAACCCGCACATGTGAGAAGAAGCGCTCCTCTGCGTGGGTCTGTTCTGTGAGTGGATTTGGGAAATATAACGCACAGTTGTTTTTTTTCTTCTTCTTCTT